AGTGTATCTGAAACCAAAACCTTTGTGTTTCTCTAGGTAGTCCTCCTGTCAGCTTCCTGTTGCTGTATATTGTGACCCTTCAGGGATTTATTTACTGACAGGTCCACTTTCTATCCTCTAAACCCTCTTCAGTCCAGTCCTGTCATTGTCACGGCTTTATCTGAACACACGGCCAGTATGAGCGGCTGACATCTGTCTTGTGATTGGTTGATTGTTTTGTTTCATAATAAAAGGTTAGACATTGTCATATGACGGAGTAGAGCCTCATTTTTCCGTCCCACAAATATTCCTAGAAAAGGTCCATTGTATAATGCAGGGCTCTCCGATCCTTATCCCTTACACAAAGGGCCAGCTTTATGTCCTTCTGACTTTAGGGGTTCAAGAGGTGATCAGTGGGAGGAAACAATGCCCCATCCTTGGTGGCTGTGGGAGGAATATAGGGCCGGATAAAGCCAAGTACAGGGCAGCATCTGGCCCCAGGGCCACAGTTTGGAGACCACTCTTCTAAACAAATGGAAGTGAGGGGCAAAAGCACGAGCACATTTTCCTGTTTGATTCCATATGATTTATGAAATTGTATTTATTGATCATTTTTCATATTGAGCTGTCCTATTTTTGGCTAGAAGGATATGGAATCATTTGATGGTAAAGGAGAGCTGCTCTGTTTTTTTCTCATTTTAAGTGCTGAACCAATTCAATAGCGTGCAATTTTACCCCTTCCTGCCCAGGCCATTTTTCAGGTTTCAGCGCTCTCACACTTTGGGTACAATGTTGTATGACTGCGCAATTGTCATTCAAACTAAAATGTTATCATTTTCTTCACACAACTAGAGCTTTCTTTTGGTGGTATTTAATCACCGCCGGGGGTTTTTATTTTTTGCTATATTAACAAAAAAAAAGACCGAAAAATTTGAAAAAAATTTGAAAATGTTTTTCTTTGTTTCTGTTATAAAAGTTTGCAAATAAATAATTTTTCTTCATAAATTCAAGCCAAGATGTATTCTACTACATGTCTTTGGTGAAAATAACCCAAATTAGGATGTATTTTTTAGTTTGTAGGAAAGGGGGGAAAATGTCAGTGCGTCTTATGGAGCGAATATGGAGCGGCCGGTCCGGTATTTCCACCGCGGCCGTGTCAGAATACCGGGCCGGCTGCTCAGCTCTACAGCGGGACCTTATAGAGATGACTGCTGACCTTTGGGGAGGGAGGGGGAGCGGGTACCTGAATTTGACAGGTACCCACTTCCGCGGAGTTGTTCTTTCATCTTACCCGTTCCTCTATCCAGCGGCGCGGTCTTCCCGGCTTCTGTAGTGTGGGCATGACAGCCGGGTGGCAAGTGCGCATGCGCAAGAAGCGGTGCTTTTTGTGAATGGTAAGGCGGCACCTGGGACACATGACAGATCCCAGAAGCCGCCGGACCAATCACAAAGCGCAAGTGCTTCTCGCTCATGCGCACTGGGCACCCGGCTGTCATGCCGATCACCATTACAGAAGCCGGGAAGACAGCGCGCGGCTGGATAGAGGAACAGGTAAGATGAAAGAACAACTACGCGGAAGTGGGAGCGGGTACCTGTCAAATTCAGGTACCCGCTCCCCCCCCTCCCCAAAGGTCAGCAGTCATCCCCTGTACTATCCACAGTCTCTGGTCATCCCTGTACTGTCCGCAGTCTCTGGTCATCCCTGTGCTGTCCGCAGTCTCTGGTCATCCCTGTGCTGTCCGCAGTCTCTGGTCATCCCTGTGCTGTCCGCAGTCTCTGGTCATCCCTGTGCTGTCCGCAGTCTCTGGTCATCCCTGTGCTGTCCGCAGTCTCTGGTCATCCCTGTGCTGTCCGCAGTCTCTGGTCATCCCTGTGCTGTCCGCAGTCTCTGGTCATCCCTGTGCTGTCCGCAGTCTCTGGTCATCTCCTGTACTATGTCCGCAGTCTCTGGTCATCTCCTGTACTGTGTCCGCAGTCTCTGGTCATCCCTGTACTGTGTCCGCAGTCTCTGGTCATCCCTGTACTGTGTCCGCAGTCTCTGGTCATCTCCCGTACTGTGTCCGCAGTCTCTGGTCATCTCCCGTACTGTGTCCGCAGTCTCTGGTCATCTCCCGTACTGTCCGCAGTCTCTGGTCATCCCTGTACTGTGTCCGCAGTCTCTGGTCATCTCCTGTATTGTGTCCGCAGTCTCTGGTCATCCCTGTACTGTGTCCGCAGTCTCTGGTCATCCCTGTACTGTGTCCGCAGTCTCTGGTCATCTCCTGTATTGTGTCCGCAGTCTCTGGTCATCTCCCGTACTGTGTCCGCAGTCTCTGGTCATCTCCCGTACTGTCCGCAGTCTCTGGTCATCCCTGTACTGTGTCCGCAGTCTCTGGTCATCTCCTGTACTGTGTCCGCAGTCTCTGGTCATCTCCTGTACTATGTCCGCAGTCTCTGGTCATCCCTGTATGTATATGTCTGCAGTCTCTGGTCATCTCCTGTACTGTGTCCGCAGTCTCTGGTCATCTCCTGTACTATGTCCGCAGTCTCTGGTCATCTCCTGTACTATGTCCGCAGTCTCTGGTCATCTCCTGTACTATGTCTGCAGTCCATTAGTTCAAAATTTTTTTTTTCCTGTTTTCTGCCTCTAAAACCTAGGTGCGTCTTATGGTCAGGTGCGTCTTATGGAGCGAAAAATACAGTAGTTCACAAATTATGGGATAGATCTGAATATTGATCAGTCCTGAAGTACTGACGACCAATCTAATTTCTTGAGGTCCAAGAATGTCAGAACAGTACAGATATCCCCCAAATGACCCCTTTTTGCAAAGTAGACAGTCCGACGTACTTCATAAGAGGCATGGCGAGTTTTTTGAAGGTGTATTTTTTTTGTCATAATTTTTCGGAAAATGAAAAAATTAAAAATATTATTTTCACTATTTTTTTTTACATACTGTCACCAGTGCAGTACAGCGTCCTCATATAACTGGCATGGCGGTGATCAGGGACACTGACTGGTGACAGTATGAAAAAAAAAAAATTTTTTTTATTTTTGTATTATTTTTAATTTTTAAAAATTTTGGCCGGTGACAGATCGCGCCGCTGTGCAGCTCTGAAAATGCGAAAACTACACATGTGCGGGAGGATGCCATATGGCGTCCACCCGGAAATTTACAGCCTTTTCCCGGCCGCCAAACGGCTATTGGCCGGGAGGCTATTGGTTAAAGCACTATGGGGTTTATTTTGTTTGTTTTTTTTACTAAAGTAACCCCTGTCAGCACTGAAAAATACTGATCTTCGTGTGTGTAAATGTTATTATTATTAACCGCTTCCCGACCGCCGTATGGCAGAAATATACTGCTACAGGATGGCACGGATGCGCAAAATCAAGTATATATACATGATTTTGCATTCCCGGGTAGGGGTGCACCCTTCGCACGTCGCCATTCGCGGCCATGGCTGGCAAATCACCAGGTCCCGCTGATTACCGAGGATCTCCGACAGGGAGAACTGTTTTGTTTACTAACAGTTCTCCACCCTGTCAGCTCTGGCACACTGCTTTGGATGGCTTACAGTGCCATTAGTACAGTGTCAGTGCTTTTTTGTTTTTTTTTTTTTAGCCCTGATCACTGTATTGGTTTCACTGCGGATGTCAGTGACACCAAGAAAGTTCCCCCCAGTGTCAGAATGTCTGCCACAGTCCCGCTATAAGTCGCTGATCGCTGCCATTACTAGTAAAAAAAAAAAATCCCAGTGTACATACTGCCATTTGTAAACGCTATAACATTCACGTAAACCAATTAATTTACAGGTATTGGGATTTTTTTTAGCAAAGACATGTAGCAGAATACATTTAGACAAAATTTGACTTTTTACATTTTTTTATTGGACATGTTGAACAGCAAAAAGTCATAAATATAGTTTTTTTCTCAAAATTGTTGGTCTTTTTTTTTATAGCACAAAAATACGCACAGGCAATCAAATAACACCGAAAGAAAACTCAATTTGTGGAAAAAAAGGATGTAAATTTCATTTGGGTGCAGCGTCGCATGACTGCGCAATTGTCAGTTAAAGTAACGCAGCGCCGTATTGCAATAAATGGCCTGGTCAGGAAGGGGGGGAAATCCTCTGGAAGTGGTTAATCTTTCTAGGGAGTATATTTATCACCTTAAAAGGCCAGCAAAGCTAGATTAAATTTATAAAAGAAGGATTTTCGCTTTGTTTTTATGTTTTTTTTTTAAAGCGTTGGTATATTTGTCATTGCTGCTTTCTGAACATTTCCATTCATGCACTTAAATGCTTTTGATTGCGTTGGCATGTGTTATAATGTAGTAAGACAATGAAGGAAAAATGAGAGAATCATGAAAATTACAGACCTTATAGAATATGGCATTGTGGATAGACATGAGCAAAACAAAAAAAAATTTGTTTCGTTTCGATTCAAAATCGAACACATTTTTATGTAGTTGGATTCGGTAAATTTGTTTTCGAGATTTGTTTTGGTAATTCGTATTTGAATTCAATTCGAAAACATTTCGGTCAAATTCGAAAAGTCGTTCACATTCAAAATTGGTTCAACCGAATTTGAAATGGATTCAACAAACTTCAAAAGTCATTCGAAATCAAACATTTCAACCAATTTCGAAAAAAATTTGACCGAATTTAAGTTAAGCTGGCCCACACACGTGTAGCTTCTTATCCGAAAAATATTAGTTTCAAGAATATTCATCTGATTTTCCAACCGCTAGTGGGGTCAAATCAATGTTTGTTTGTGACAGCAGTGTCGGAAAAATTCGAAGGGGCAGGAAGGAAAACTTTTTTTTTCTCGATCAAAAGAATTTTCGGCCAGTGTATGTGGTTCTCTTTCAGAAATTACATTTATTTTAAAATTGAATGTTAAAAGCAAAAGACAATTTTCAAATGACATTCGTCCATTCATCGAATGTGCAAAGGATTTTCGTAGGACTTTTCTTACGAATATTCTTGGCCGAAAAGCTACACGTGTATGGCCAGCAGAAAAGAAGTTGATGGGACATTAGTAGTACCGAGTTTTTTGTGCACTGGTAAATTTTAGCGTGGTTTTGTGGTGCACTGTGACAGATCTTCTTGGGCACTGTGTTGGAGATGTTTTTTGTGCAGGGGTACACTGTGACAAATGTTGATGGGGTGCTGGTACAGTGACAGTTTTTTGATTTTCTACACCATTCTAATCTTTTCTATTCTATTCTTTGATTTTCTGTTGTCTTATAAAATATTGATTCTATTCCTTTCTATTCTATTAAGTTATATTCTGTTGCATTCCATTTTATTAGTTTTTCTTTTCCTCTATTCTTTACTACTCTACTATTTTCTATTCTATGTTATTCCTTTCCTTTTCTAGAAGCTACTTCGTTGTATTCTTGTTTTCAAATTGGAGTTTAAAGCGGAGTTCCAGTGAATATAAAAAAATAAATAAACAAAAGGCAGCAGCTACAAAAACTGACACTTACCTGTCCCTCGATCCCACGGTGTCCTCCCCGCAAGCCGTTTCACCGGCCGCCCTGTGTTCCCAGTGTCGGCATCTTCAGTGTGGGCACCCGGCTATCACAGCTTGCTGCTTCACAGCTGGGTGCTCACTGCACATGCGCCAGTAGCGCTGCTCTTTGTGAATGGTCCCGTAGTCTTCTGGGACCTGTCACGTGTCCCAGAGAACTACTGGGATTTAGGGGGGGGGAGGACAGCTTCCGCTTCGGTAATCGCAGCGGAAGTGGGAACGGGTACCTGTCAATTTCAGGTACCCGCTCCCCGAAGGTGCCAATCCTTAACAGGGAGCGGGGGACCAGTCCTTAAGCGAAACTTGTTTTCGAATCGAATTTCGTTTTGTTGATTCAGATGCGTTTAAACTTGTTTTTTTGGTCATTCGGAATTCTGATACATCTGAATAACAAAAAAAATTTGAAATTCGATTCAGAATGAAACAAACACACATGACTAATTGTGGATTATCTAAAAAAAATCCAATGCTATTCTCAGTGCATAAATCATGCAAATATTCTTCGACATTCTGCTCCACAAATGATAGAAAAGTTAGGAATAATGCCCTATCGTTGGGGTCAGTGGGAGGGATAGTGCTCCGTTGTTGCTGTCAGTGGAGGAATTACGCCACAGCTTCAGTGGATGATCATCTCTATGGTGTAAGAAAGCAGAAGCTACAAGTATTTAGTCATTTCCGGCTTTCCCATTTGCAAACAAATAGTTACTGGTTTGGGAAAAGCATCGGACCAAACCGATCTTGGTTTGGTCCAAAGCTTTTAAGGGCAGAGGAGAGATTTGGAGTCTAGCAGACCCCAGATCTCTCAATAAAGAGTATCTGTCACTGCCTATGCTATCACAAGTGATGTTGTCCATCTCTTGTGAGAAAAGAAAAGAAAGCGCTACTACCCACCCAATGCTCATCCCAGGAACTGGGCAGGTGCGTGATCCACAGTTGCGTATCTGTTCCAGAATTAAATGACATTGATCTGCACTACTGCCATTGCTCTAAAATCTTCGTTTTATTAAATCGACCACAGTAAAAACATCACAGGTACAAAGGTGTAGGCGTTTCGGCTTAACAGGCCTTAGTCATAACCCATCTCTTGTGATAGCATGTTTAGTAATTATTTACTCCGTGTAACATCTTTTATATTTTACCAGTTAGGTATTGTATTTTTATGCATTAAAATTTACTGAAGTGTAAGTTTTTTACCCAAAAAAAGAAAAACTGCCCAAACACCCACAGTTTTCATTTCTAAGGCTTCCACTTTAAAAAAAAAAATATATAATGCTTCCTAGCAAAAAATCTATATTTTTTTTACATGTGAACAAAAATATTCAGAAAAGACTTGCTCTTCAAGTGGTTCATCTAGCTGCAGAAAGGACATTCCTAATGAGGGGCCTTAGAGTAAGGGAGAAGTTGTTTCTGCCTGTTCTGAGGATTGCCATTTCATGATTGGCTTTTGTAATACACCCTATACCTTCAGCAAAAAGCCCGAATCCCATGTTCCAATAACTGCTTACAGGCAGGCATGATCATAACATATGTAGTAAAGAACCCATATGGCCACCTCCCCTCCAACGTAAGTTATTGCCAGGCATGGAAAATGTAATTATTGTATTGTATTGATGGTTATATACCATCTAAGATGTGATGAGAGAAAATGCCTGCACCTTGTATATTTCCTAAGTGAATATTAAATTACAAACCCCTTAGCAGCTACCAAAAAGGTATATACCCCAATACAACAACTCAAATGTAAATAGATAAAATGCAAATTAAAAAAATATCTATTTTATTGACCCATGTAAGATGTATTATCTGGGATAATCCCCAGTAGTTATTGCATTTAGAATATATATAGTGTGACAGTATGAACGGCAAAGTGATGGATGGACGATATGTGTCACCTCGCATGAGGTCATACTGTGAGGTGTAAGGTGGAGTCCACTCCGGGTTTTCGGGGCCACAATGGCAGAGGTGGTTCCGGACCGGAGTTTGTGCTCCACTGATGACCACCAACAGGTGGTAT